CGGCATAGATCCTATTTTTATTTTTTAAGAACCCGTGCCCTGTAGTGGGACGTTAATGGACTTTTATGACGATAAAAAAAGTTGAGTATTTAATTGAAATTACCATAATTTATGATGTAGCTTCGCAGGTACCTTAAAAGTAACCAATCAAGTTTTTCGTGTACAGTTAAGTCCAAAAAAAATATTTCGTGACTAGCATAATGAGTGACGTTAATTTCCAACTGAAATCAAAAAAGTTATCAATAAATACACACTGGTTTGCCTATCTGTCTCTTATTGAAATAAGTGATAAGTGATGCCCTTTGAAAAAAACACATATTATAGAAAAAAATCCAAACATACAAATCGAATCATATGGTCATCTCAACCATGTGTCAAAGTAAATAACGAATTGATTTCAAGGGAAATAATTATGCCTGTTCAATATTGCGTTATCTACAAACACTAACTATACTATACTCTAAATCTGAAGCCAGGACACGCATTTAAGCAAAGTTAACAATGTTAACGATTGTTTACTTTACAAATAACATCTTGTACAACCAACACAATTGTTCAGATAACCGGCTAGCGGTTGACATAAAAATGTTCAGCGTTCTATTTGATGTTTAGTCATTATAATATATATACAGATAGCTACTAGGTACAATTTAGATAATTAATTACAGTACCTCATGTAAACGTCAAAAAAAAATTAAATATTTAAATAGCGCATATTCTAAATAAAACGTATATCCCCCAAAAATAACACATGAATATTATCGTTGGTTATTATATGTGAATTCGGCGAATTAATATAAATTATAACACCACAAAACTATACAGTAAACTTGAAAGTTAACCGTTCACGTGTCTTTCTGTGTTTTATCGGCTTCTCATTATCATTGATCATTTTCCCATACGGGATTGTCAACACTGCACTAGCATATTACACATTTTCTTCGAGAAAATGCGGTATGCGATTAACCTTAGCGAGAGTGGGGAATCCATTGATTTTCGCGCTGTAAATGACGTCACAACCGCGACAGACGGGCGGCGCGCGCCGGGCCACGTCTCACCGCTTACTGGCAAACTGAACTGAACCCAACCGAGAGGAAATGCCAGTTACCATGCGGTCCTCACTTGTTCCCTGTGCCACTCACTGTTGACTTGACCTTCCGCATCGATTTATACTGTCATAGCACAGCTGATTTTTAATTAGCTGGATAGGGAGAGCTCGTAACACACGCGTGGGAATGCCAGTGCAACGAGTAGTTACACACAGGTATGTGTGTACCTACTTAATGCACATCACTATGCAGAGACCATTGATTATAGGTTCAGTAAGTTATTTTTCTTAGGATGAAAATGTACCTACTTATAGGCATAAAGAAATCATAATAAATATGCTTCAATAAATATTAGGTACATTATTTTTTCTATAATTTATACTAATTATAATTCAAATTTAAATCCAAAAATAATTTATTTATTTTAGCCGCTTATGAACGTATTTTTTTTATATTATAGTTTTTTCCTACCGTCTAGTTCAGTACATAGATCCAATCGAGAAGAACTGGCAAGAAATTCAATTGAATGACTTATATAATATAGAATTGTAACAAATAAATAAATTATATATCCTAATTTATTCATTCATAAACTTAAGAGACGCTCTTGTCGGTGGAGCTCTTGCCACTTTCTACGATCTTTTATCATGCTCTTTAAGCCTTGATAGGACACGACTTCAATTATGTCTTTGATTTGTTTGATGAAACTGTGCCTTGGTCTTCCTCTCCCCCTCTTTCCTTCTATTTTTCTCTCAATAATTAGTTTCAAAAATTCATCGTGCCGTATCAAGTGCCCCAACATTTTTCCTCTTCTACTTTCTATAGCATCCAATATCTGCCTTTATTCTTTCACCTTGTGCACTACTTCTTCATTTTTTACTTTATCTTTACAGCTAATTCTTTCCATCCTTCTCCAGCACCACATTTCAAAAGCTTCCAGTTTGTCCTTTTCTTTTTGAGTTAATGTCCATGTTTCACATGCATACAAAGCTATACTCCAGATATAGGTCTTAATAAATCGTTTCCGTGAGTTCTTGGATATCTTAGTACGTAAAAGGTATTTTTTGTCATTAAATACTTTTTTTGCCATGGCTATTCTTGTTGTAATGTCCTCTTGATGTGGTACTTCTGGAGTCGCGGGTGATTAAACTGCCTAAATATTTGAATGAGTCTACATGATCGAACTGTGTTTTGTTAATTTTTGAATTTGTTTTATTGCGGGGCTTAACTTTTGTTATTCTCATTGTTTTTTGCGTTTTATTTATATTAATTTTGAGTCCATATTTTTTTAAAATTGTACTCATAATTTCTAATAGTGCTTGTAGCTGTGTGTAGTTTTCTGCTAATGCAGCTATATCATCAACAAATCTAATGAACTGTATCTTTTGTCCATTTATTTTAATTTCCCCTTCGTTTAATTCTACTATTTCCTTTATTGCAGCTTCTATAAAAATATTGACTATAAGTGGTGAGAGTGGACAGCCCTGCCGTACTCCTTGCTTAATTTTTGCAGTTTCCTTTTCTTCTCCTATCTCTATTACGGTTTCTTGACTTTTATAACGTTGGTAAATTATTCTCCTATCCTTATAATTTATTCCTGCTTTTTTTAAAAATAACTAAATTTTTTTTCCAATTTACGTTGTCAAAGGCCTTTTCTAAATTTATAAATGCAACACTCGTCTCAATACCAAGTTCTAATCTTCTATCTAATATTAAACGAAGTGCCAATATTGCTTCACGTGTTCCTTTATTTATTCTAAAACCGTATTGATCTGGACCTAGCAAACTCTCTGTATGTGGTCTGATTCAGTTTTTAATTATTTTTAATAGTATTTTTGAGATATGTGATAACAAACTGAGGGTTCTATGTTCTTCGCATATATATATGCGAATATATATGCTAAATATGATTGAATGATGAAATGTTAAATATGATTTGCTATAATATTTATTCGATTTTAAATCAGGAGGAAATATGGGTTCCTGGCTCGAGTCATTTGGTACAAAAATTGATTTATTAGGAACCGCATTTTTATTATTTTCCGATATTTTTTTATTTTGGTAACAATCTTCGCCCATGGCGCATGAATTATTTCCTTTTTCATCTACGTAATTTCTTTTCCAAGCTTCACCAAGAGTTTTGAATGCTTCTATAATTGGTCGGTAGCCAGTACATCTACACAGATTTCCTTGCAATGCTTTCTCCATACCGAAATATATATATCCTAATAGATATTTAATATTATATATAGTGTCTTGTTTAGTAATATACAACACGTATATAACTACAAACCTAAGTACTGTACAGAGACGCCTAGAGTTGTATGTTTAGCAAAAACGCATACTGTCGCATAGTCTATGATTCTATGTCAAGAACAATATATGATAGAAAATACAAGACGAACAAATTATAAATATGTTCACCATAGGAATCAGCAATCTTTCGTCTCCTGGACACAAATAATTACTGTGTAAATTTAGCCATTCCATTCGGCAAACAAAAATATTTTTCAGATCTATTTCTATAATGTTTAAATTTATAAAGTCGTTTACAAAATAATACTAGATTTTTGATTCTATACAAATATATATAACTTTAGAATATACTTGGATAATTTCCCTCGAACACGTCAGACTTAAAAAGTATTTACTAAATGCGAAGGCATGTAATTTCTTGCCCTTTGCTGTTATACAGGCGTTTGTCATAAGCAACCCTAAATATATGTATATGCAAAACATATTTATTTATAATGTTCTATTCTATAATCACTTTTCAAGCTGTATCCACGATTCTGTCTACTGACAATATTTATATTAGAATGAGTTAATAAAGAATACAACAGAAGATATGGTTGAGTATAAAAAAAATACGTGGATGTTGTGTTATTGATCACAATGACGCTCGCAATTGTTTCCTACCTAGTTAGTAAATTGGTATTTGTAAAATACTGTACAATTTTTTTTTTTATAACACAGGTGACAAACGAGCATGCGGCTCACCTGATGGTAAGTGATTACCGCCGCCCATGAGCACCCGCAACACCAGGGGAATTGCAAGTACGTTGTCGGCCTTTTAAAAAGGAATAAGCTCTTTTCTTGAAGGTTTCAATATCATATCGGTTCGGAAATACCATTGCTGGAAGGTGATTCCACAATGTGGTTGTGCGAGGCAAAAAGTTTCTAGAAAACCGCACTGTGGAAGACCGCCATTCATCCAGATGATCAGGATGGTATTTCAGTTTCTGGCGGGTGGTACGGTGGTGAAACTCAGCAGCTGGTATTATTTCGAACAATTCCTCAGAACACTCCCCGTGATATATACGGTAGAAAATGCACAGAGATGCAATATCACGCCGCAAAGCCAATGGGTCGAGTCTGTCACATAGACGTTGATTACCAATGATTCTGGCTGCTCGGTTCTGAATGCGGTCAAATGGAAGTAGCTGGTATTGTGGTGTTCCCGCCCAGAGATGAGAACAGTATTCCATGTGCGGCCGGATCTGCGCCTTGTATAATTGCAAGCGATAGGCCGCCGTGAAATACCGTCCCACTCTACTGAGCACACCAAGCTTTTTTAAGGCTATTTTAGCCTTGTCCTCCAAATGACCACAAAACTGAACGTCACTGGATATATCAACGCTAAGGACCTCGAGATTTTGCTTCACATCAAGGAGAGTGTCTTGAAACTGAGGAGATACGATAAATGGATTCTTTTTAGTGGTAAAAAATTATATAATAATAAGGAAATTAACTAGCTACACGATAAAAATAACCAAATAATCACTTTATAACTTGTACATATTAAATGGATGACAGTACTCTATTAAAACAATGGTTCACATCGTGATGTACGCTATAATAAGACTCTAAATGTAGCAGAAAACCATAGGTGAGTGGAAATGAATAGTTACTTGATTAGATTAGATTATCTTATCTTTGCTTATTACTCACGTAGTAAAGGGAAGCGGCTTGAGGAATGCTTCCCAAGCGGTGTGCTGGTAGCGCTAATGTCGCTCTGAGAACTGTGCAGACTGCTCTTCCCGCTGCCGTTTGCGGAGCCAATCTCCATGCGCATACGCATGTGACGGCTATAAACAATACAAATACATTAATAAAATTTTAGAGCATGAAGTCTAACATTATAATAATACAATAATTGAAATTTTGCTTCCTGTCTTCGCCGAACATTTATTCTTCTGTATACAACGCCATCTAGCGATACACAGATAAACAATTTGTTTATTGACAATTATTATCTACCGCTAGATCGTTGTATCGATGTAACGAATACTACAATGATGCAGGAATTGGAAAGAGAGTTTTCATCTAGAACCCATAGAAAACACATCACTATTTAAAAATGGATATAAAATGGATGTTTGTACCTGTTCTTATTTCAAGAAATACAAATAAAAAATAGAATGAATAAAATAAAAATAGATGAAAGTAATAGGCAACTATTTCTAATGTTTCTAGAGGTAGACATTTTACAGTCTACCTCTAGAAACATCTAATGTCGTCTGCGTGACAACCTAAGCTCCACCTATTTCAGTCGCCAAGCAGTTTGCTTTGTAAACTGTGTTTTGGTTCTACTGAGCAATGAAATTAAAGGATAACAGGCATGACATCTTAGTCATCTGCAATGGCACGGCTTATAGGCGCATAGGCGACGGTCACCGCTCACCATCGGGTAGGCTGTTCTTGAACTTAACATATATTTTATTTGATTAATTATATATTTATATATGTAAACTTACCCCTTCGGCTTCGGATTAGTATTTGTGGACTTCGAACTTAACATTCTAGTAACACTGCATGCTGTCTGTGATCGTTGTAATGAAAATGCACAGTCTACCTTAGACTTTATATCTTTAAAAGATTTTGTTTTATAGTCGTTTTTAATATCTAATGAATTTTTTTTAGATAATATCTCACGTCTTTCCATCTTTTTTACTATTTTTGGACTACTTTGTACACTAGCATCAGCATCAGTTTTCCTGTTTGCTAACATTGTTTTTAATTTACTTGGCACATCACGCTTAGGCATTTTATATTTCTTCAAAGTGAAACACCGTTTTTCCTCTTTATTTTTATCAACAGTTCTGACATCTTTTTCACTATTTATAGAATTTCTTTTGCTAACATTTTTTGGAGTATCTTCTTCGTTAACAACGTGTGTTAATACTGATTTCTTATCATCTAATGTTTCATTAAGTGGCTCAAAATATGCATCAACATTTCCAGGACTAGTATTCTTCTGACTGCATTCTGATCTAGTCGATGGTGTGGAACCTTCTGGTGACATATCATCAATTACATTTAGAAAAACAGGAGACGACCTATGGTTTTCAAAGTCTGTATATACTCCACTAGATTCCATACACGAATCATCATTCCTATTCACCAGTAGAGGCGGATTTCCATTTGCATTCTTTCCTCCATATAATGCTCCATCAATAACTTGGGCTCTACGATCTCCTCTTTGCATGTGGTCATCCAGCCCATCAGCATCGCTCTCTGTAAAAAAATCTGAGTCTGTCATAGGATCTGCTCTTCTAGTTACTGGTACATTTTGCCAGTCCATTTCTAGAACATCTTCACGCTGCTCTATAGAATGGTCACCTCCCCTACTTACTGGCCTTGACATTTCGCCATCACCTTGATACCCATCTAAACTTGTTATACTAGTAATACTCGTGATAAAACTATTTGATACTTTTGATGTTTCCATTGACTTAGGATAATCATTTTTACCGTCTGAATAAGTTTGAGAATCGTGCAAAGTAGAGGCAGAAAACTGAGAGTACGTACTTATTTCACCATGAATATCTGAGCTATCTAGTGGTAAATCTTCAGGAGAAGGTGTTTGATCAATTCGGTTCGTTGTCATATTGTTTTCATGTTTTGAATTTAGAGGTATTTCTAAATTTATTGTATTTTCTGCTATGGAACTAATAGGTTCTAAAATGCTACTGTGAATCGAAGGCATAAATTCATCATCAACCAAATTTGGAACATTATCATCCTTAGGTAAATCAGTTTGGTGACTTTCTGAATTCGCGTCTTGTACAGAATTAGAAACTGAGGATTCTGGTAAACTATCTCCGGGTTCTGTATTTAAACATTGATCATACAACTTTCGATTTGAATAGTCAAAACATGTCAGGAAGTTAGATCCTTGGGTACTTATTTTTTCTATATTTGGAAGTGAATTTTGAAATACATTACACTTTTTATTGTCAGTGTTTATGCTATCAAACCCATCATTCTGAATAGTAGAGGCTGCTGAATTACTTTCAGTCTTATCGGTTGAAGGAGTGTCCCCATTATCTGGTGATATTTTATTAGATTCATTAGTACCACAAAATATTGGAAGACCTTCCACTGTAGGAGAAAAAGCATTTTCCAGATAACAAATATCATCCATCTGATCTGGAGTTAAAATTCCTAAGCTATCATCTAGTGAATTCTCTTCATTAGTTCTACTTATTGAATTGTCATTGGGGCTCAAATTAGAATCAAAATTTCGTGAATGCATGTGGGATTTTAGTTGTAAGCACAGATCGGACCTCGAATGTGTGTTAAATATTTTTTTTACTGGATGGCTGATTTCATTTTCACATGAATATTCAAATTCTCTCATTGGTTTGTCATCGAAGTTCAAAACATTCGGTGATCTGTCTGAATTATTATCCGAAGTGTCTTCAGTTTTTATATCAGTATTTTTTGTTTTTGGGTTCCAAACATTTAAATCGGTGTTTTCTTCACGTGATGTAGAAGGATCAGCTTTGAGATCAAACAAAAGACTGTATGGTCCTGATTCATCTTGATCTTTGTCATCAACTAGTTGTTGGGTAATGTCATTAATTAGTCCTTTTGTCTTTTTGTCCACATTTCTATCTTGCTTTCTCGTTATCGCATTTAATTTTTCGCGTAAATCCAAAATTCTTGGATTTTGTTCCACTACCTTTTCTAAATTTAAACTCATTTTTGGTATTAGAGATGCATAGCTTTTAGAAAATATATGTTCCTTTAGTCCTGTTTTGGGAATCTCGTTAACATTTTCAGAGTTTGCTAAAATACGTGATGTCCTTTTTACTTCAACTTGATCCAGTGAGTCTAAACTTTTTATTTTGGAATGATTACTGGAATAAATCCCTCGTAGTTCTATAGATCGTACTCTACCATTTTTATCCACAGGAATCTGAAACAAATTATATCTAAAATTAATAAATTGTATATGGTTACAGAGTGTAATCGTTACACAGTGCCTTACATAATTAAAATATTTTAAATGTCTTATTCAACAGTACTTTCGGGCACGTGTCTAACTACTGCTACTACATTACCTCAATATACCCGCCAATTGCTCATCACGGTTCACAGCACGGTCACGCATGGTGATTTCAGTGCATTTATACAGTTGTATAAATTATATAGTATACGTGCTTCGTATACATAGCTCGTGAATTGATACTGCATAAAACGAACGTGCATTTCATGCATTATAATGTCAAGAGTACCTAATAAAATTCTATTGGCGTCTACATGTAGCCATCTTATCGTATTACTTACAAAATTAAGTAATTTTTTGTCATTAGAAATGCCATAAAAATAATGACTAGTAGCAAAAATGTCACACGTGCCAATGTATGTAATTTCAACATTGTTTTCCTAATTGTATATGAATAAAACTCTCGACGAGATGAACGAGATTCATCTCTGTCTATCCGGTCCTAGCATGAATATGTATTACATGAGATAAATTGTATTAATTAAAATGAAAATGCACTATTTCATTGCAGTATTAAGTTGATAAGCAATTTCATTCATTATCGTATTTTAGTCGTCGATGAGAAAAGAACACACTGAGAAAGACAGATATCAATCAGAGCGCAAAATACTGATTATACACAATAATAGGAATTGTCGTGTAAAGCAACTGAATCATTGTCCCGACAGAGAATGCAATCGACTCTTCTCATCCTCATTTCAACAGGGATGCCAACCATAGGAGAAACTTTGTATACATTACTAGACTTGATCTTGAATTGTATACAAAGATTCTTCTTTGACCTTGGTACGAGTACATATTCATACTTATACAGGTATGGCACACGAAAATTGATTTAAATACTGTGATATACAAATGCCCTTATTGATTTTATGTTCCTCTTTCGGTGCCAATTTTTAAATAGTTACTCGTATATTTAAAATTATTTGAACTATTTTATTTTAAAACATAATTAGATATTTATTAAGTACATTGTACACAACTGTACACAATATGTTTATATTAAGTAATTTACGTTAAACGTTTTGATTTTATCACTTATCTTATCAAAGGAAATAAACACGGCGTTATATTTATCACGGAAATCCTTAAATCTAAATAAGACAATATATAGATATCAATGTACATACATAGATAGATGATAGATGGTTTCACTATTATTTGTCCTGTTTCTACAGTGTTCTTTTCGTAATAGGAGTTTATGAATTATGGCTAATATTCTTTCTATTTTGTTAATATTACTGTCTAGGTATAATTGTTACTTTTTGATGGCAAACTTACTGAGCGTATTCAAATAAAATTTGATACATAGCTAGACCATACCATAAATTAATACGTAATATTTCTTTTAAATCACACAGCAATACTACGGACTACAGTCAGCTATAGAACTTCAGTTAAAGATATACAAAAATAACAAAGTATGATTTTTATAATTTAATAAATATTTTACAATGCGTGAGGGAAAGTACACACTGACATCAGATTACTCCATACTTTCCAGCATTTACAAAAAATAGAGTTCTTTATCGACTGCCTTATGTTCGTATAAGTTAGTTATTACTAGTTTTATAGTATTACTAGTTATTACATTATAAAAATATTGTTTAACAGAACTTGTTTGTGGCATTGCACAATCACGTACTCGTTTATATTAAGATTAGATTACATTTAGGTACTTGTATTACAATAATTGTATATATAATATATATTTTTTTTACATTTTGTCTAATAATGTCTTATTATGATGTTAATACTATGACATATTACTAAGTGTTAACATTATAGATATATTAATTAAGTAAAGTATAATTCCCCTACACTACTAATATAATTGAATTTTATTGCTATGCAATCTTAATTTAAGGAAGGTGTTACATATGAATGTGGATGATTATAAGGGTAGAGGAAGACCGAAAAAGAGATGGATTGACTGTGTGTAAGATGATATGGTAAGAAAGGAAGTAAATAACGAGATGACTGCGAACATGGATGAATGGAAGAGAAAAACATATTACGCCGACCCCAAATAAATGGGAAAAGGAAGAAGCAGATGATGATGCAATCTTAAACTTAGACTTACACTGACCTAATAAGTAGTTACATAATATCGATAATTGTTTAGATATTTATTTGTACATTTAATAAAACAACTATGCATAAGCAATTATGTTTGAAGGGTTTAAATTGTTCTCATATTGTAACTAGATGTATCTTCATAATTAATGTGGTCATTGAATTTGGGATTAGTTTAAGCACTGGCAGTACTTTAATAGTAACTGATAAGCCCGGCTTGACCTACTAAAAAACTAAAGACAGTAGCTACATTATTTAGACAGTTTTATTAGAAATATTAACTTAAAGCCTACGTATCTAGAACAATATTCAATCATTCACGAGGGCTATTTGGGTAAAACTTACCTTCTTTTAGATCCTTATGCACTCAATACTGTAACCTATTATGCACCTAGCATTTTAATTGAAAAAATACCAAGATCAAATTTTAATAATAGTATTCTTGAAACTGTACCTTTCTAAACTAAACTATCGTAAACACGCATAACAATCACAAAGGTTTTTTTTAAACAGATTAATAATTCTATCATATCCTGCTGTAGTGGGCTCACAGCAGGTTAATGCACGCATGCCTTAAATCACCAAATCACCGTGACGGCGCCGACGACACCGAACCGCGAAAAATACAGGTTTTTGATGTGATTGATAAGATACGACATAGACACTACACCTCGTAGTCGACTTAAGTACACGTAAATTAAACAAGGTTATGTGTAGGTACATTATTTGAATTAGATATTAAGTGTTGAAGGAAACCTATGAGTAAAAAATTGTTACATACAAATTGCATAAATGTAGTTACTAATAGGTGTATAATATGTGAAGAGTATTTAAGTGACAAGTAAGTAACATACCTATTTGCTATTTAAATATGAGAGGTCAGAAAACCTGTGACAATCCCTGCATAGGATTTTTTAGGTAGGTATAGTTAAATAGACCGGCAGGCGCTATGAATTTGAAAACCCGAAAAAAGGCTTTACCAAGTAGAGCCGCAATAGTAAGCATTTGCCTGATATGGCCACCTCCCATAAGGAGAGAGGGGCCCACTCGTATACAAGAGGACATAATGGCTTGTCGTGATGATAATAAACATTTCAATTGAACACTGTCTATTCTTTGATATAATATAGTAAGTTTCTTAGGAATCAGTGCAGATATTTTTTCTATTTCCTAGACAAATAGCATAATTCTAAGTTTCTGGAGGTTTTAATAAATATTAGTTGATTACAATTTAATATTTATTCAAACTTACATATGAAACCTTTTCTAAAATATATTGTTGCAAGTGTACATGACATCTCTTTCGATGATTATTTTGGTTATTTTTGCATTTGCCTAAACTTAGTCACTATAGAAGCGTCATGATCACGGATAAACTGAGGAGTAGTAATAGTAAATTAAGGACAGAGGTATATATTTGACCTTATTTTAGGATTTAGGATATTAGGACTACCTCCTTATAATAGGTAAATGAATATCTACCTTCACAGGTCATTGTTGTTGCTACTATTTAATCCCGTGATTTTCTTAATTGTATAAATAATGACCAACTCAAAAAAGAGTATGTCAATAGAAGATATTTTTGTTGTAGACTTAAAGCAAAAATGTCATATCCCTACTCTAAAATCTTCCATTAATTTTTATCTGTTTCACAATCATCATAATACTTTTTTAATTAACCTTAACTTACAGTTACTTAGCACTACCTGAAATTACTTGTTTGGAAAATACGTGAGAACGTTCTTTTTATAATTCCGCGCAAAACCTGACTAACGAACTGTTATATGGCACAGTAATTATTATAGTCGTATAAGATCGTGCGAATATCAAATTAAACAAAACAATAGCTTTAGTAGACTGATTACATGAATAGAAAAACACCTAGTTACGACATTTAATAGCTCCGATTATAAAAATTACAGTAGAAATAAAAATGTCATTATGGCTAAACTTAGTCGATATTTTTAAAAACTATACAAGATAACTGAATAAACTTATTATCTCTTCTAATACAAGTTCCTTTAATTCCCGCACAATATCAGTCCAGGTAGTTATAAGTATAATATTATTTCAGCAACTTTATGTCTCTACAATACCCTTCATTTCGTTTAGCTCTTTAGAATCCAGCAGGGTGAGCTTCTACTATTAAATCTCAATCTCTATTAATTTAGGTTTACTAACCTGCTTACTAATTTAAACTGACGAAAATTGTAGCCTTATTAACTCACAGTTATAAACTACGATGTACCCACTCTAGCACAGGTGGATAAGTAACTTAAAATATTAAATTCTTTTATACATAATCGAACGTAGTAATTATATTTTATACGTAATATATTATGAACAGGGTATAACAATATATGATAAACAAATAGTAATGTCTCTTTGAGTTCTTCTTTTATTATTATTTATTAAATGCGACTTGGGGGGGTCGCTTTTCGCAAGTGCAATTATGATAAGAGTCTAAATTTTTTTAATAAAATACAGCTCAAATATTAGTTGATAATGTTTATTTTTTATACGTATTTGAATTTGTTCAGCGATTAATATATTTCAATTTCATTTTAGGTAGTAATATATGTAATATATCCTATTCCATAAGGACACCTATTGATCATAATCCTTTTATTGTTTTAGTAGATGAACCGGGTACGTCAACTTCTACCCCGGGAACCTCGGATGAGAGACTGTAAAAATCATTTAATTAGGCATTACCTATTTCCAACACAATCAATGGGCCATTATCAAAAAGCAAGGTTACATTGGTTAATCCGTGTATTATTTTTTCTCCGGACCGTGCGTTTGTATAATGAGATATTATCGCTTTTCCTATG